AAGAATTTATTGTAGCTGCTTTTTATTTTAGATGACTTAGTGATATCTGAAGCATAATATCTATTCTGTAGCAAGGTCTGTGATTGAGGCTGTCCTGTAGTGAAATGCCTTTGACACTCTGGCGATAACCTTATGTGAACCTTAAGTTGGAAACTTCGAGAGCTGTTCTCTATCACACTTGCCATGCTGAGATTTCAGACTCTCACGGGCACCTCCGCCCAGTACATTGAAAGCCACCAGTATATCCTAGGAGTCCTCACGGTGTGAGCGGTTGAGCATTTACCTGCTAGCCAAAAGATGGTGATTAGAACACACCCAGAGGAGGCTTTTTTGAAGAAATGCTGACAATGTCCTGAGAAAATCACCCTTGCAAACCTTCGGAAGAGCAGCCTTACGCTGCAACCCTCACAGGGTCTCCATGAGTCAGAATGAACTCAACCACATCTGGCTTGGTTTTCAGTCAGCCCCCAAGTTTCCTAGAGCATCTGATGATATCTCTTCTCCACAGGTCACTGGCAGGCAGCCATCGTGTCTCCTCCCAGGCTGCTTCTGTGACTTTACCTTTGCAGCCGTCGCTTCTGTTCACTCTACTTCAGACAAGGAGGTGGCCTTCTGGCCTGTAGGCGAGCTTTAGACTTGAAAGAGGTCTTTAAAAGTAGTATTTTGTATAAAGCAATTTATAATGCTCACGATTTTTTAATATTTAATCTCTCTCTCTCTTTCTTTTAGGGGGTAAACCAATTTCAGAAACTCTTGACAGTGTTAGGCTGGCATGCATTCATATATCTCCTGTAAATCGTTTCAAATATATGTGGAGGCTTCTGAGGCCAGATCAAGTGAGTAATGAATGTATACAAATACATGCCTTTTAGTGAGTTATAAAATTTACTGTTTCTCAGTTCTGATGAATCTCAGAAAACTTTCTCTTTAGAAGCAGTTTTTAAAACTGACATAAAAATACTACCATCTTCCCAATGGGATTTTAAATTTTCAAGTGGGACTAAGACTTTACCTATGTCTTAGGGTCAACTATAACAAGAATTTAAAAACATCTATTTCCTATGAAGTGCTCTGTTTGTGAAGCAAGGTTTTCATTGGCTTATAAAGTATTTGTACCAAGGGACTTCAAAAAGTTTGTGGAAATTTTGGATTATCTTTAATTCTATTTTCCACAAACTTATTGAAGCCCCCTTGGATAATGACCAGCAAAAAGCAAACAAACAAAATGCAAACTCAATAAATTATGTGTTAAACTACTAACCACATGGCCAGTAGTGCAAACCTACCAGCCACTCCACGGGAGAAAGATAAGCTTACAGTTGCCATGAGGAATTACAGGCTTGGAAACCCAGAGACAGCTCTACTCTGTCCTGTAGGGTCAATATGAGTCAGATAATGGCCACAGCTAACATTCCTTGAGGGCTTTTTAAGTGTCTGGTGTAGGTCAAATACTATATCTAGTTTCTTTTAATCCTATAAAAATCCTGTGAAATAGTTCCTATAATTATACCCATTTTACAGTTAATAACTGAGGTGTAGAAGGCAAGTGGCCTTTTGTCCACACTGGCAAGAAATGGTACTATTGAGATTTAAAATCTGCTCTGTCTGAGTCTTGGTGGCATAGTGGTTAACAATTTGGGCTGCTAACTACAAGGTCAGCAGTTCAAAACCACCACCCACTCTGTCTCTGTGGGAGACACATGGGGCTTCCTATCCCCATGAATTTAGTTGGCACTGACAGCATGCACAGTGAGTTTGGTCTTTTTTTGGTTTGTTTTATCTGACTCTAAAATCCATGTGTGCCACTGATTACTATACTAGACAGAGAGTCACTCTTTTGTTAAGGGAAACAGATTTTTCTTAGCTTAATAATATATAAAGCACATTGATACTTTTTTATTGCCTTTTCTTCCTTTCTTTTCAAATAGCAAGCTATTATACTTGGAAATGATTCGGCAATCCTGGAAGTACATAGGGATACCCATCCTATAGCTTTGGAATGTAACACCCTGGATAATAATGAAATCATTGCGTCTGTTAGATTCACAGTCTACACAGCAGGTGGTAAGTGCCCCAAATGTTTTCATGTGCTTACATTGTGAATTTTAGAGAGCATCAAAGTGTCCTGGAGAAAGCGCAGCACTGGCCCCACACCCAGCGATTCTGATTTTGAAGGTTTAGGGTTAAGGGTAGTAACATTCTCCTTTCCCTTGTGGGACTCCTGGCTTGATTCCCAGCCAGTCATTTCATGCTACCTGTCTGTCAGTGGAGGCTGACGAGTTTCTGTGGTACTGAGCAGGGTTCAGTGGCGTTTTCAGAATAAGACAGACCAGGAAGAAAGGCCTGGAAATAAACTTCCAAAACCAGTCAAAGAAAACCTATGAATCACAATGGTCTAATCCCCAACCCATCATGAAGTTGGTGTGGGACTAGGCAACATTTCATTTAGACCTTTTTTTACAAGGTAGTACTTAATTTCCTTTTCACACAATCAAATTAGATGTGCCTTACTTCAGGAAAATGATGTGTTCCTGGTGTATCTTCCAACAACAGTCCTATAACTTGATTTAAATCTTGCTTCTACTTCCACCATAAAATTGAAAATGGACAAATGGATGCTTGTAAAAATATACGTACAGTGAAACATATCAATTTAAGAAATACCAGAACATGTATTTTTAAAAATAATTCATTTGCAGAAAATATTTTTGATACAGCAAGAGTGCAGCCCTTGGTATTTGTCACAAGAGGGAAAATTTATCCTGAACCCAATTTTATGTGGAATTAGGTGTTGTTGAGTCGGCCCCTATGTATAACAGAATGAAACACTGCCCTGTCCTGCAACAGCCTCACGATACTTGTCGTATTTGGGCCTGTTTTTGCAGCCACTGTGTCAATTGATCTTGTGGAGAGCCTTCCTTTATTTTTTTTAATTATTTATTTTTTGCTGCCCTTCTACTTGACCAAGCATGGTGACCTTCTCCAGGGACTACTCTCTCCTGATACCATGTCAAAAGTATATGAGACAAGGTCTTGCCATCCTCACTTGTAAGTAGCAATCCAGCCGTGCTTTTTCCAAAAGTGATTTGCTTGTTCTTTTGGCAGTCCACGGTACTTTCCGTGTTCTTCACCAGCCCCGTAACGCAAATCCATTGATTCTTTTGGGGTCTTCCTTATTCACTGTTCACTGTTAACACGTATATGAAACGATTGAAACTCTCATGGCTTGGGGCAGATGCGCTTTAGTCCTCAAAATAATTTGCTTGATTTTCAAACCTTTGAAGAGGTGTTATGCAGCAGATTTACCCCTTGCAATTCATCATTTGATCTCTTGACTACTGCTTCCATGTGCATTGATTGTGGGTCCAAGCAAGAGAGCTAGAGAAGTTCAGGCTTCTCACTTTTAACAAACAAGATTGTGTTAGCTGCATATTGGAAGTTGTTGGTAAGTTGTCTTCCGATCCTGATGCTGCATTTTTCTGCATGTAGACCAGCTTCGCTGATTCTTTGTTTAGTACTGTATACAGATTGAAAAAACATGTGAGAGGATCCAACCCTGAAGCATACCTTTCTTCATTTTAAACTGTGCAGTAATCTCTTGTTCTGTTTGCAAAATTGCCTCTTGATCCATGTACCAGTTCCGTATGTGCAGAGTGAAGTGTTCTGGAATTCCTATTCTTCTCCAGGCTATCCATAGTTTATTATGATCCACACAATGGAATGCCTTGGCAATTGAAGGACGCGGAGGCTTTTCTCCATCCACGTCACTCTGGTTGACTCTGCTTTGAGAAGGGAGCTCTTTCTCAGTTGCATGTTGTGTGCCTTATGAGCAGAGGGGCTGGTCTTCCAGCACCATATCCAACAATGCTCTGTTGCTGTTCGTGAGCTTCTCAGTATCTCATGACATTTGTCCTCCATAATGTTTCCAGTGGCGAATTCCTCAGAAGTGGACAGTCTACTCCGTCTTTGTATCCCTCTTAGTGGGGAAGGTCTGCTAAGCCTATTCACTTTGGGTGACCCTGTTGGTATTTGGAGCACCGGTGACATAGCTTCCAGCATCACAGCAACACACAAGCCACCACAATGTTCCCTTATGAGACTGATTCCTGTGCATGTTCTTTCAATTTAACCTATGATGTCTTCTAGATCGTGTTTATTTTGTTTGGTTGAGTTGATCGTAATAATTTTAAGATCAACTTGTTGCCATCTTTGAGGTTGGGGTACTGAGGGCTTTGGTCACAAGTTCCTTTGAGGAACTAATCCCACCTCTGGAGCCTCCTCTTGGAAGAACGCCTGCGTATACATGCTGAACTTTATTGTAATAATGAGGCTGTACTTGGATTTCTTGAAGTTGTTTCTAAAGTTTCCATAAACAACTTCTGATGTCATCAAGAGATTTCTCACAAAATAATACCCTTGATTGAAACAAAAGCAAAACAAAAACTTAAATTTGGTGCAGTGATTTAAAAAATGAACTCTTTACTATTTTAACTTTCTTTAATGTGTTTATTGTCTTCTTAAAGTTTCCAGGTGAAAGTTAGTAATCCTGCTCCTTGTCAGATTATCAGTTATCCTTAAAAGGGCAATTTCAATAAGATGTTCTAAAAATCGCAATAGGAACAATATCATCCAACTCCCAAAACTGTTTCTAGTCTAGGTGTCTCGCACCATCCTCGGTTGTGTCCCCTCTACCTACCTGTTCCCTGTTAGGCCTGCCCTGGGAAATGTTGAGTGGTCAGCTCCTCTCCAGGATTAAAGGACAATTTGCACTCACTGGATGTAAACTAAAGGCTGAACGGGCTTAAATGAGATGACGTTGACTTCTTGTAGCAGCCTGGGTCAGGGTAGCTCTGCCATCTCAACACATACACTGGTCAAATAATACAGGACTTTCAGAAGAATAGTTTTCAGTGTCTATTTGTTTCCTTTAAAGATAAAGATTGTGTACAGCACAGTTGCCTACAATGTTTTGTCTAGAAATATCCAAGGATAGGTTATAGTTACTTGAAACAAATATTTTTTATTTGTTGAAACATTTCCTTCACTTTTAATTTTTAAACAGTTTTATTGTCACCATCCATATATCAGACAATTCAATAGTTCAATCATATCACAGAGTTGTACGATCATTACCAAAATTAATTTTAGAACATTTTTTCTTCCTTGTATTCATTGTTATATGTAATTATATATATAT